AAGAATAATCAACTTTTTAAATGGAGTTGCTGACTTCCATAGAAATAATTCACAAAAGGCAATTAATTTGTGAACGACACAATGAAAGGAAATGTTGTTAATCTACACACCTGTATTGACTTGATCTGTATGATATAAAAAATGTTTTCTTTTGAAAAGCAGGTTACAGTGCTAAGACTGACTGATTAATTCATAATTCATTGGTAGATAAACTTTTTACTTTTGTAAACATGGTTGATAGTTTTGGCTATGTAACCAACTACATCTAAGAAGCTCTTGTCTTAAAGTGTTTTTTTCAAAGTAAAATGTGTGAGGGATAAAGAAACTATGGATTTTTAAGCTATAAGCCAGTTTTTCTGCATTTTACTTTGCTTTAGTTGTCATGGTTATTGATTTGTTTTGTGTTTTGAAATCAGCAAATTGGTATAGAAACAGCATGTGTGGAAAACAACATACGTAGAAATTGTATGATCATTTGACAAAGTCAGCTGCTAAGAAGATATAATTCATGGTTCTTATATTTTTAATTTAAGAATGAATTTAATTTCTACTTCTAAGGAAGTAAGTTGGGTGGTTTCATCAAGCTGCTGTCAAGAGAGTTGATGGTTAAAGGGAATAATTGCACATACTTCAGAAACTCATAAATATTGATCATGTTTCAAATAATGTAAGTAAACTACATATCTTTGTCAGGGACTTACCAATTACTTACTGTTATGAAAGTACAGTATTTGAAAAGCATATCCGTATAGTTTTGTCATCTACCTGGACCTTCATAGCATTTCTTCACTATGAATTAGTATGACCACAAAAAGTATTGAATTTTTAGGCATTTGTTGACATACAGTGTCATATATGTCACGTAAATGTCATATAAAGAGATTTAGATACAGTTCCATTCCCTGGGGGTTTACAAAGGCAGGTGAAAATACATAAATTAAATAACTCAAGTATTGAGAATAGAAGTAGGTGCATTTAATTGTAGAAATTAAATCTAAGCTAGGGAATTGACATAGTTACACAGAAGATGGAGGGACATTGCTAGCTGTCATCTTTGTAGTCTATAAGATTTCTGGAAGTTAGAGAAAGGCATTTTGAAAAACAGGAGAGAGAGTTTACTGAGATTGCAGATGGGGTTGACATTCAGCCTATATAATGCCTAGTCT